ACAACAAGTTGATAGCATCAAGTGTACGAGGTCCCAGCATAATAATAGTCTCACCTGTAGCATGGTCACTATCGCAACTACTCTCAACAGTTCGCTACGAACAAGTCCGAAGACCAACTCTCTCACTTCCTCAAGTCGCCCTAGTCGATCAAGAACACCTAAAAAGGACCCTACCACATCATCCAAACACGACCCATCAACCTAATACTTTTAACAAGTCTTGTGAATCTATGAACTCTCGTCGTGCCATCACCGTAACCATACGGAGGTTTCCTTGCAGCATTCAGAACATCCATATACCCTTCCCACACCGTCCTCGCTAACAGGTCCAACTCCTACATGATGCACTACTACATGATGAGGAATCATATATATTCAACTACTATTAATTATCTATATGATAGTTTGTATTATCGACATTTGTCGAGCCCATGGTAAAAGGCAGTACAAAAATCATCAAGAATGGATCTGCCGATCATCACTGCAGTTGATCTAATGTGTATATACATCTAAGATTAATAATTACTATAACTTGTATCATATCATCCACTACATCTGTTTACCTATTTTCTTGGAATGCCACCCTGGCGAAAATTATAGCACGCATATGTTTCCGCGGCCAATAACACAATTATTCTCCACCAAGCGAAAGGTGAAATATGTTCCCACGAGCCTTTTCCATATCATGAGTAAAACTCCATTATTTTTTATCATCTGTCAATACATGATTTTATTATTCCTTCAAAAATCATTGTATAATACAATGGTGAATACAATTTGTATTCACCATTAATATTATTCAATTACAATTACTCCCCGCTTACATCGAGTTCGATCTTAAAACCATCAACCGGATCATCCGGTTCGCTTCGAGGGGTCCAAGCCATGAAGAAATCAGCGTTATCAGATATACCTGAGGGGAAAATGCCGCCACCAGGGATCGAACCTGGGACCACCCTCTCCTCACCCCAGGGTGCTCCAAAATGGCAACAATTTTTCCATTGCCAACTTTTCCAGTGGAAATTTTCCTGCCATTTCCTTGAGCTCGGAAAAATAGGAAAAAAATAGGAAAAAATTGCCAAAAGTGGCAAAAATGGCAAAAATTGTCGAAAAAAGTGTAAAAAATCTAGAAGCATCTTCTCATCTGTCATAATTACCACAATGGAACTATTATTCCCGGCTGAAAAAGGCGAACATATTTTGCAGCACTGTGGCTAAGAACCACTCAACTCAAAAGAACTCAAATCCTGATTAACAAGTATGTTCATGCACAAAATTTGTGCCACAAATGCATCATCAATTGGGTTGTTCAGGGAGCTCCATATCACTTGACTCAGAATCTATCAATCCCAATCTCTGGTGGGTCTTGGATCGCAAATAAACATCAGTAAATATCTCTGCTTGAAGTTTGTTGACCCTGAGCAGCAATCATATAGGTCCCAGGTTGGCACCTGGTAGTTGGAACAGTCAATAACCAAACGAATCGCTTTGAAATTTACGAACACCATGCATCGATCCTACTTCGTGACGAATTTTTCAAAGCTGAACGAACGTTCCAAGGCCGCAGTTTCG